GGAGATTCATGACCCATTTTTCGCTCCAAGTTAGGTGGAATATTTGCCTCTTTTATGGGCGCTAGATCTTCAAAGTTGCGGAGATAGAGTAATAACTCATCTAGTCTGTCCGTTATCTCTGTTTGTTCGGCTTTTGGCAGATGGGAGAAGGAGACAAGTAATTCCTGCTCCATCGAATTCTCAAGATGAGTAGCCTTTGATAGGAGGGGCATGGGGGTCTCTGTCCAACTAATTAAGTCTGAGGGTGGAGAGGTAGAGCTCGTAGTAGATGGAATGCCCTCATTTTTAATTGCTTTCCTTTTAACTGGAGAGTAGGGAATAAGAGGGCAAATCTTAGTGTTGATAAAAACTCTTGTGATAAAAATTCTATAATTAGTCAGGTAGCTTCGTAAGGACATCATATAAGTTGGAAGCTTTTTAGAATCAAAGGTGAGCAGTATCCTCTGCATGTGTGGCTTGCTGTAAATGTGGACAGCGGATTTCAGATCGATGGAAAGAGGATCTACGCCCAGAAGCTCAGCCAAATGCCTTCTTGCGACATGTGTAGACGACCAGTTAACAACCTGACCTTTGAAGGGAAGGATAATTAAACAAAGTCTAGTGGCTTGTAACGAAAGATTATAGGAAGATATGGTGTGTGAATCTTCCATAGATTGTTCGTTTTCAGATTTGCAGCCAGTCTGCGGGGTTAAACGTAATAGGGCAGGTACTCTGGGCGTTGGTTCAGCCCTATCCTCCGGTGAAACGTCTACAGGGCTGACATTAACTTTTGGGGATACAAAGGATGTAATATTCTCTAAGGAGCCTTTGATGTCTCTTATATATTTAAAGATACAGTCCACGGTTTTAGCCACTAGGTCTAACGTGGTAGAGTGTTCAAGCAGTAATTCAGAGAGATAGTTTGCTTGTTCTCCGATGCAGTCTTCCGCCTGAATGGGCATAGTTGGAGCTTTTTGGGGCCTTTTGGTCTCGTGGTGGAGTTGTTTAAGGAGTTAATGGGTTGTTTAGTGGGTGGTTCCTTCGGTGTAATTTCCTTATCTATTATCTCTGCTAATGGCGAGAAACTGTTCGAGGTCGGAATATTAAAAGTGTCCTTTGTTTTTCCATGGAAGAATTCGCTGATTTTGGTTTGCTTGGTAAGGGGCAAACATGCCATTTCCTCTGAGTCCTCCGATTCTCTGCAGCGTTTGCCAACCCCCCTCCTCGCATCAGCAGGGCTGTCTAATTGCTGAGTCATCTCTCCCTTTGCCTCGCTCTTTTATCTTCCCTAAATTTTTCAAAGAGTCGAGGGAGTATTTTCCTTGAAAGTATCCTATTCAAGGAGGAGGAGTGTGCCAAAGGTTATTGGCATAACACTAAGTTATGCTCCGTCTGTGCCTCCAGACTTGTGGTGGGAACAGCCCATGAATCTTCCTGTAAGCTCTTCGCAGTGTGATAAGATAGTCAGTGCGGCTTTAAAGCTCCAAGAAGAGTCAGGAAAGCGGAGCGTGGGATGGAATGGGGTGAGGTGCTTAAAATTATCTGAGCTCAATATTCATTAAAATAGTCTTTAAAAGGAGTAAGAGAAAATAAAAAGATAAAATCAATGGGCTCACATTAGTAGAGTGCTGTCCGCCATCATACCGGAAGGATGTGAGGGCGATCTGGCTGCGACATCTGTCACCCCATTGATCGCCAGGGTTGATTCGGCTGATCTGGCTGGCTAGGCGGGTGTCCCCTTCCTCCCTCACCGCTCCATGTGCGTCCCTCCCGAAGCTGCGCGCTCGGTGGAAGAGGACGACCATCCCAGATAGAAGGAGTGTACCGTTCTTCGGTCAAGGGTATATTGTAAGAACTTGGCACAGCTGCGAAGAGTAGCAATATTTCCTTAGTAGTTCTAAACAGTGCTTTTTTTCTAGAAAAATAGGTCCCGGTACTCACCATGATGTTGTTACAGTAACTGCCACACTTTTTAATGATGAAAAAAAGAGGTGCCAGTCCTGCGTACCCTTGAGGAGCTCCTGAAAAAAGCACTGGTTCTAAGTATCAAATAATGCCTTTCTTTGATTTTTGTTCTTGAATTATTCCCCAGAAAATGATAAACATGGACCCAGTGAACAGAAAATTATAAGCTGAGCTCTAGGCCACATAGATCTGACAGAGGGTGAGATCTGAGTGCTTTGGATGTCATGATTTCATTCTCCTGTGTGTGTGTGTGTGTGTGTGTGTGTGTGTGTGTATGTGTTTGTATGTATGCAATGGAAGCAGCAAAAAACCTCTTCCTAGTTGCCTCAGCTGCTACTTGGTAGGTGCAGTTATGTGCCCTAGCAAGTGCTCTGCCGGCTTCAAGTTTTATGCCACCTGCTCCAGTCCTTTCTTGACTGTTTCATCACCTGCAGCTCTTCAGTAACCCAGGAGCTTCCTGGGCTCCACTATGCTAAAGAACGATCATAAGAAGGATTGTGTCAATGGCCCTCATCATCCCACCATTACACAGCGAGACAGGATCCTCAGCAGAATCACTCACTCTATCCATTGTAGGAACACCCAGAGCATTCAGGTATCCATCCGTTTCCATTAGTCTCCAGGATGGGCCATCTTAACTGGTCCCTCACACTTGCAGGGTAGGTCAGCTGATACGAGTCCAAACTTCACCAGGAAGTGGTCAGTCCATGGCAAATGGGTGATTCCTACCTCCCTGTATGCAGACTGCCTGCATATTACTTTATAGTCATCAGAGATCCATTAGTTTAGGATTAAAATTGCCCTCTTTTTGAGCACCTGTGGCACAAATAAAAGAAAAAAAAATTCAAAGTGACCAGACAAGGAAATATTTTGTACTTTGAAAGATGGTTCTTTCCTTTCAGGTTGTTGCTGACTTTCAGCACTGCTAATGTGTGAGCAGTTCATGTGTTTATGACTAGTAAAAAGAGCTAGTAACTTTTGAAGATTCCTTTGTGAAGCTGTGTTAGTGGGTTAAAATGCGTTGAGAGGTCCCCTTGTGCAACAAGGAGTCCATTATAGAACCAGAAAGGCACAGAATTGTAGAGTTGAAAGGGACCCCGGGGGTCATCTAGTCCGACGCCCGACAATGCAAGAATCACAACACATGGTCCCCCTTATGGTTCGAAACCATACCTGAACCTGCTTAGCTTTGCAAAGGTGCTAGCAGCTTTATTGCCAGAAGGACAACTGAAACTTATCTGAGTGTGTTGAGTTTAATGCTTCCTAAGCATCATTGGCCCATTCATCCTCTTCATTCATTTATTGCTTCTTGATTAAACCTATTTATTTGCTTCCCCACTTAAACTGAATCAGTTGACGACTGCATTCCTTCAGGGGAAATTTGTCAGGGAGTGCATGCTAGTGATGGGAACACATGAAGCTGCTTAATACTGGATCAGACCATTCGCTTACCCAGATCAGTATTCTCAATTCTGACAGCAATTCCTGCTGGTTTGGGGAAGAAATCGTCATAGCCCTGTTTCCCCTCATGCGATTCCAGTCATGCACATGAAGAGTGGAGGTGTGGGGAGAGGAGATATATACTTTTTTTCTGGCGGTACGCAACGGCACACAGTATCGCCACCCTTCGGGAGGGGGGAAGGTGGCAGAAGGGCTCTTGGACCCCATCAGAACATTTCACCTCCTTCCCCAAGTCCGGGAAGTGTTTGCCCAGCTTAGAGAAGGAGGTGCTCTGACAGGATCCTGGAACTCTGCTGCCTCCTTCCCAAAATCAGGTTCTTCACCTGAGTGGCAGTGCCCCAGTAGGTGGATGGACGGGCAAGGGGTCTCAAACAGCTAACCTGCCCTCACCATCCAGCATTGGTGCCAGGTTTCACCCCCGCCCCACCATGGGCTGGCCCCCCTGCTTGCTGGTGAGTACCTGCCCTTTTTTTCTAGAATAAAATCACTGGTCGTGGCCCCTCTGTTCCTGTCCCCAAAGTCCTCCAGGTTGAACTTCTGTTGTGTGCTTGGAGTTGTGTGTAAGAAAAACACTGGGGTCTAATTTGAAGCCCCACCCAGATGACAGTCATTCTACTATTCCCCCACCCAGCCCCGCCCAGATGGCATGTCTGTCATCTGGGCGGGGCTGGGTGGGGGAATAGTAGAATGACTGTCATCTGGGTGGGGCTTCTATGTTCTGCTCCAGAAGCAGCCCCTCCCTTCGAGTGTTCAGTTCAGTTCAGTTAGAGAGGCCAACTGTCCTTCTTGCCTCACAATGTTGTTTTAGTTTCTCTCAGACGGTATGTTATTGTGTTACCATTTTCTTTATTATTAAAGTTTTCTTTGGAATATATGTGAGTCGCTTGCTTTGCTGAAAGAAAACTCTGATGAAGAATGGTGGAATACCCTAAACTGGGGATATTCCAAGTCTGACAGGAGGATTGAGTTTTTTAAAATCACCCCACCCTCTACAATATTGTGTGCAGTACTTACATAGGCTCCTTCTGTGATTTAAAAATCTTCATTGTGACTGGAATCGCAGGGGAGAGGGTAGACAAAAAAGGCTGTTTGAGTTCCTTTCAACTGGGGATTGAGATCCACATTTACACAGTCAAAGCAAAAGCATGAGCTCTGGCCCTTACGTAACGTACGTGTAGCGCTGGAATTACATTTAAACCTAAGTAAATGTCAGGCAAGGATTGAACATTTGTTTCAGCCAGTTTCTGAGAGTCCTTCTCTTTTCATTGAATGCTATATAAAAGGTAAAAAAGGTAAAGGACCCCTGGATGGTCAAGTCCAGTCAAAGGTGACTGTGGGGTTGTGGCACTCATCTCGCTTTCAGGCCGAGGGAGCCAGCGTTTGTCCACAGACAGCTTTCCAGGTCATGTGGCCAGCAGGACTAAACTGCTTCTGGAACAACGGAACACCGTGATGGAAGCCAGAGCACATAGAAATGCCGTTTACCTTTCTGCCACAGCAGTACCTATTTATCTACTTGCACTGGTGTGCTTTTGAACTGCTAGGTTGGCAGGAGCTGGAACAGAGCAATGGGAGCTCACCCTGTTGCAGCGATTCAAACCGCTGACCTTCCAATTGGCAAGCCCAAGAGGCTCAGTGGTTTAGACCACAGCGCCACCCGCTATGTAGCCAAGGTCTGCTGGGTTCCTTTAGTATATCTGTAACTTACCTTTCAGGAACTGAGTTCTTACACCACCTTTATGATATTAGAGCCTCATGAGTGTTGATGCTTCCTGCCTCACCACAGTAACTTGCATCACTCCAAACCACATAATAGGAGTGACCCACACTGTTGCAGCTCTCCACTCAAGCATCAGTTATTCGAAAGCTGGGGTGTATGGGGTGTAGACACAATGTGGGGTTCTTCTGCTTAGTCCCAGACTTCACATCTTACCTGGAGATTACAGGAAGGAATGACATGGCTGCAGAACTCTATCATTGCTTTTCATAGTCTAAACTATGCACCTCCAGACTGTCTACCTGCTTGTCGGCCACCTTCCTTTTATACTTCTTGCTGTGGGTATTTTGTTCTAGTCTTGTGACAAAGAAGGGGGGAGGGCGCAGACTTTGCCTGGAGGACCCGACAAGTTGTCATTGAAGTATGAAAGGGTGTTGAGGCATTCAAATAATCAATTGCTTGCCTTTTGCCATCCTTGTTTGTCATGGAAACTATCGCACAGGAATGCCAATCTGCTTGGCAGCTGTGGTTGCTAAGGAATGAGAAGCAGGAATAGGGCACTATTAGGTTATCAGAGCCACTCATAATGGGTGCTTTATAGGAAAGCGATTAGCTCCCCCACTCGCTCTCCTCATTAGCATGCCATCACCTCGCACTGTTAGCCTGCTATTCTTTTATGTCACATGAGTGCTGTAATTTTCCTCCTGAAAATATAGGTATGCAGCTCAAAACCACCTGAATAAAGTGGGAATACTTGCTTCCTTTTTAAGTTAAATTACCAAGGCTTGTGAACTTGAATGCCTTTATTCACCTACTTAAAATTTTCTGTGAAAAGTAGAATCTGCCGTTTTGAATGCGGCATGGCATCAAACAATGTGAGGATTAAAAGTGCCACTATATTAGTCACGCTACGGCTGAGTTTATACAACTGGTTTCCTTACAGGGTAATATTTCCAAGAGGAGACCCTTGGTTATAGAAACATTTCCACTGCCAAGCCTTGGGAAAACCACTAGATTTGTTCTGGGAAAAACTGATCCTTGGATAAACTTGCAAATTAGCATTGTCTCTGTTAAATTGTGTGTGAACCTAAATACATAGCCAGGCCTTGACTTATTACCGTATTTTTCTGTGCATAACACCCCCCTGGTGTATAAGATGACCCCTATTTTGGGGGACCCAAATTAAGGAAATGGGGGGAGATTGGTCAGAGTTGTTGAGCTTTTATTTGGGAGGGGGGAGGAATTGCCGCCAATCGCTCACCCTCCTGACTGCTGATAAACAATCACAGGCCTCGCCGAACCCAACAATTGTCTGCCCACTCACTGCCAGCATCCACCAATCGCCTACCCAATTACAGCAGCAGCCAATCGCCAGCAGGCCTTGCCGCAGCTACCAATCACCCGCCCAATCACCACTGACAATCTCCTGCTCACGGCTGACACCAATCGCCAGTCCCCACTCTGCACTATCTGTGTATAAGACGACCCCCAATTTTTAACATTATTTATAATAAAAATAATCATCTGATACACGGAAAAATGTGGTACATAGGGAACGTCGGGTACCTTTGAGGCTTATGAGAATGCCAGCTGCCCTGCTAATGTGTCCAACATTTCTATGAAAGTGTAGCGACAGTTCTAACATTAGAAACATAAATCACCTTCACACATTATAGGTGTGAAAGGGTTCCATGGATTTCATCCAGCTATGTTTTACACAGAGCAGACTCACTGAAATTAATAGACCTTGGTTATTTTTGTTCATTAATTTCAATGAGTCTCCTTGGAGGAGAACTAGCTTTCAATGCAACCCCATGTGTTGAAAGCAGTGTTCAAAATTCCCCAGGTGCCAGGCACATTTTGCTACTGGTGTCGGTCCAGTTGCAACTAGGTAAGGTAAAGGTAAAGGAACCCTGGAAGGTTAAGTCCAGTCAAACATGAGTATAGGGTTGCGGCTGTCATCTCGCTTTCAGGCCAAGGGAGCCGGCGTTTGTCCACAGACAGTTTTCCGGGTTATGTGGTCAGTAGGACTTAACTGCTTCTGGTGCAACGGGACACTGTGATGGACGCCAAAGCGCATGGAAACCCTGGAGCCAGCTGACTCCTGCACAGCAAAAGACACACATCTTTGCTTCTGTGTTGCTGTGTCTTAGCCCTCCATCATCACATTAAGGAAAGGAAGTGTGGGGCTGAGTACAGGCATCTTTGACTGTGCTGCAACCTTTCCAAATGGAACTCACAGACCCCAGTCTAAAAACCTCTTCCCTAGCCCAGAGTTAATGCCATTTCGATTTCCGCTTTATGTGTTTCTTTCTCCTCCTTGCATACTGGGGCAAGTACGTTTGGGCTGCGGGAAATCCCTGTGCAGACTGAAACCTTGACTATGTGGTCTCCCAACTCCTGTGGAAGACTTCCCCATGGTAGAGGCCCACGCCTAAGGAGTGGATGTCAAGGGTGAGAGGTGGAACCTGGGGGTGGGAGTGGCCTGACCCCCATTAATTTATTTGTTTATTACTTATTAAATTTACATACCACCCTTTCTTTGAAGACCACAGTGTGGACTCTCCTCATGCGTATAGCATGTGAAGGGGGCTATATTACCCAAGGGTAAAAAGTCAAGGGTAGTACTGTAGATTCCAGCACATTAGGTGACTGGGCATATAAGACGACCCCCAACTTTTGCTGTTCAGTTTTAGAGTTTTAGAGTTATAGAGTTTGAGCGCTGCCAGGAGCAGAGCATGCACCCCTCCGCTGCCTCTGCCGTCGCAGCAGCAGCAGCCCGAGGCGAGGCGTTTGGCAGGCGGGCGGCCGAGCGCCACACTCGGAAGGACGTTCCACGTCCCCTTCTGTGGGGAGGGAGGAGGAGCGATGGCAGAAAGGGCACCTCTGCTCACCGGGTCCCTCTCCTCCTTTCCAACGCGTATACGATGAGCCCCGACTTTTGGGGTGAATTTCCAGGGATATGGGACGCGGGTGGCGCTGTGGGTTAAACCACAGAGCCTAGGACTTGCTGATCAGAAGGTTGGCAGTTTGAATCCCCGCGACGGGGTGAGCTCCCGTTGCTCAGTCCCTGCTCCTGCCAACCTAGCAGTTTGAAAGCATGTCAAAGTGCAAGTAAATAAATAGGTACCGCTCCGGCGGGAAGGTAAACTGCGTTTCCGGGTGCTGCTCTGGTTCGCCAGAAGTGGCTTAGTCATGCTGGCCACATGACCCGGAAGCTGTATGCCAGCTCCCTCAGCCAGTAAAGTGAGATGAGCGCTGCAAGCCCAGAGTCATCCACGACTGGACCTAACAGTCAGGGATCCCTTTACCTTTACCTTTATATAAGCAGAATGGGGGTGGGGCAGGGGTGGGGTGGGGTGAGGACTCAGTAAGAGGGCCATACAACTGCTATGCTTATACCACTTGATGCAAAGCAATGCAGCTGAATTTCTGGCCATAGTAACTCCCTGGAAATATGTTTGAAGATGCTTCTGAATTTTACAAAGTAAGTTTGTGCTCGTGGTTTTTATGCTGGGCAAACGCTGAAAGGCCATGTATGTAACTGTCGTGTCTTTGTATTTAACATGCTAGGCTCAACCTCCTATCTAAAGTTTTTCTTTTCTTTTTAGAGTACAAGTTGAATTCTACATGAATGAAAACACATTTAAAGAGAGGCTAAAGTTATTTTTCATCAAAAACCAAAGATCAAGTAAGCATTTTCTCTCTCTTACTACGTGTGGGTGTAATAGCGCTTCCTCTAAACCCGGGTTTCCTAAACTTGAGTTGCCGTCTGTTGTTGGACTACAACTCCCATCATCCCTAGCTAGCAGGACCAGGGATGATGGAAATTGTACTCCAGAAACGGCTGGAAAACAGCGTTTGGGAAACCCTGCTCTAAACAATAATGCTTGCTGGTGATAAGAAGTGGTTATATGTTACATCACTAGGGGACTGTAGTCATGTTCATTACTTTTGATGGGTCTATTCTGAAT